TACAAAAGTACTTTGTACTCCAGTTTTAGTAGTGAACGGGTGTTTATTAGCCAATGTAGATTACTAGCTTTAAATTAAAGTAGATTTCTCTTCGCTTCGCTTACGCCAAGTAAGCCTTCTATCCAGATGAACACCAAGGTATGTTACTTCGGTGGTTTGTGGAATGTTGATATTGTTCAGACATAATGGAGGGCAAGTTTGTCTGTTTAACGTGAAGGTGACATGCTTGCACTTTTGCTAATTTACATGTATCCGCCAGTCTGCTAGCCATTTTTCTAAGGCCACGAGATGAGATGATAAGTGATCCGTGGCCCTTCTTGGGCACTTGGAGCGACTTAATATGGCAGTATCATCAGCAAATGTCGAAGTTGTTGTTAGGCTGTTTGTCGGTAGATCTGCTGTGAATATGATATACAGTGTCGGTCCAAGCACGCTGCCTTGCGGTACACCAGCTTCAATTGGATGATATTCAGAGAGGAAATCTTTGCATCGTACTGCGAAACTTCTTTGCTGTAGGTATGACTCCAATGTTCCATGGATGTTCTGTGGAAATAATATTTTGATTTTGTGGATTAAGCCATCTAACCAAACGCGGTCGAAAGCCTGTGCGACATCCAGAAAAACAGCGGAGCAATACTCCCGTCTTTCAAATGCATTTCGTATCTCAGAGGTTAGGTGTAGGTGTTGTTTGATACGATTCAGGAGCAGCTTTTCAAATATCTTTGATAGGCAAGGCAGTAGGCTGATAGGTCTATATGATGATGGCTTGGACTTGTCTTTTCCGGCTTTATGGATCATTGTGATGACTGATTTCCTCCATTCTTGAGGATAATAGCCCCATTTCAACATGCTGTTGAATATCATAGTAAGGAAATACGCTGCACAGCTCGGCAATTCTATGATCATTTTAGGAGAGATGAAATCGTGGCCCGGAGCTTTCTTTTGCTTTGAGATTTGGTCTTTAATGACCCTTGTGACTTCTCCTGATTGGAATATGATAGGCGGAGTAGCTTCGGGATTGTTGGTTGGTGGGAGCACAAAACTATTCGTTGCTGGGTGCGGTTTGAAGACGTTTTCTAGATGGACGGCAAATGTATTTGCCTTCTTTGTTGCTGCGAGCCCACTCTCCTGTTTGTGTACGCAAAGGTGATTCACTCTCGATTGGTGGGCATACGCCTGATTTTGCTTTCCACAGTGGGAATCGTTTGCTAGTTGGGGAGAGTTGCTCCATATAGGATATTTGAGCTCGGTTTTTTTCATCTTCTAGGGCTCTGCGTAGTAGGTGGTTGGCTATTTTTAGCCGCTCTTTCGATGCAGGTGATCTGTGTGCTTGCCACTCTCGGCGAAGCCTTCTTTTATCGCGTAGCAGCACTTCAATGTGCCTAGAAATACGACTGCTGTTGGAAAGTTTATTAGATGCTAATATTGGTGTTGAGTGTTTTGCCGCCAGTGACATTGAGGAAACCAATGCTTCGACTGACCTATCAATGTCATCTTTACAATTAATGTTTAGGCAGCTATCAATATGAGAGCTTATGTACTTCCTGTATTTGAGCCAATCTGTTTTGCTAGAAGTTAGAAAGTGTGGGCGTTCCGAAAGCTGTGGATGGTCGTAAAGGTGAAGTAGAATGGGCGAGTGATCCGATGATAGATCTGTTAAGTGATCTACATTAATCTGAGCTTGCAGCACCCTTCGTGTAACTGGAAAATCAATCAAGTCGGGTTGCTTGTTTGGATCTGTGGGCCAATATGTGGGCTTGCCCGGAGAGATAAAGTCTAGCTTGTTTCGTGGGGTTATTATAGCGTTATATAGTTGTCTTCCTTTCGGGTTGGTAAGTCTAGATCCCCAATGGGTGTGCTTGGCATTGTAGTCACCAGCTGCTATAAATCGGTCACCTAGTAGGTCGAAGAATGTTACAAATTCTGTTTCGGAAATGCAGAAACGTGGTGGGCAGTATACTGCGGCTAGGTTTAGGTAGCCGCTCTGAATTTCAATATGAATTGCTGTTGCCTGTAGATAAGGTGTAGCAAATGAAGGCAATGGATAATGCCTAATGCGATTCTTGATCAGAACGCCAGTACCTCCATGTGCCTTACCATCGGGATGATTTGTCGCATAGAAGTTATAGCCATCGAGGTGAAAATAGTTTTTATTTGTTAGGTGAGTCTCTGATATGAGCATGGCGTCAATGTCGTGTTGAGCGAGGAACTGTAAGAGCTCGCCTTTGTGCTGAAACATATATTTAGACAGGACATTTAAACAGATTTCTGTTTGATTAGGAGCTCCAGGAGGAGATTTTGGTTGCGCATAAGCACCTGAATCGTTTGTTGTATTGCTACCACTGTATTTGTTATAGTTACCAGCATTGACTCAATTCCACTAGGCAATTGGGATGGATTAGCAGGGGTATGTTGGGCAGAGATTTCTGGGATCTGATTTGATGCCTGATTCTGCATTATTACAGCTGTGGTTGGTTGAAGTGTCGGCTTAGAGACTGAGGCGTACGACCCGTTGTTGTAACTTAACGCCTGAGCAAAAGAAACTCCTGGAGTCGTAGTTGATGGTATATATGTTAAGTTTTGTCGGACGACCGGGTTTCGAGCTGCAGTTATTTGTTGGTTTAGGCGATTTTTCAATTCTTTATAGACAGGACAACCTCTATAGTGGGCAGTATGGTTTCCCCCACAGTTGCTACATTTTTTGGCAGATGGGTCCTCCTTATTTACGAGGCAGGCCTCAGTGAGATGAACATCACCACAGGCAACGCAGACTGCCCGTAGAGTGCAATAGGTTTTCGTGTGTCCATATTCCTGGCAATTTGTGCATTGGACCGGTCCATTTCGTTTGTGTGGTTCCTCAACGGTGATCCTACGGTGCAGTAGGTATTGAAGCTTGTATATTGGGTGAACTTCATTTTTACTTATATGCATACTTTCAGGTGTCAGTTCTACTTTGAACATTGGCTGGGGAATTTTATTTCTATTTATTATGTTCATTGCCATTTTGACTTCGAAGCCCTTATCGTTAAGTCCATCTATTATCTCATTGATTGGGACTGTTGGTTCGATTCCTTTGATAACCACTTGTAATCCTTTGCTACTTTTAATTCATTTTTCCATTTTCGAGGTATTTCGCAACTGATCGATAGTTTTGTTCGTCATTGACTTGTATTTTTGTTTCATTTATATTACCTCTTTTTATGTACGTGACATAGAATGTGTTTGCGCCAATTGTATCAGTTATTTTTTTGACCAGTTCAGCACAATTTGCCTGTCGAACATAAATAGGTGGCGGTCTTAATTTTTTGGCCTTGGGTGTTTGGGTGATCTCATCTTCATTTGGGACACTTAGTATCGCAAATCTATTGTTTGCTAGTGCCTTATGTGGTACAGTGTTCTCGGTTATTTTAGTTATTTTAGCTGCATTGTTGTTCTTCACATTTTGTGGGCTCAATTTTCTTTTGATTTGCACATAGCGATCGAGCCCAGTCTGAATTAACGCTCCGTTAGCATTTTTTGAACTTATTGGTTGGGAGAGTTGGGGCTTGTCGCAGTGGGTCGACAGTATCGGGCGCTGAGCAATTGCAGTGGTTGTTGTTGTGGTTGTTGTCGTTGTTGTGGTCGAAGACACAGTTTTGAGCGAGGGCATTGTACTAGTTGTACCTTCCTCCATGTGACACGGAGATTTTCAGTGTGGACTACCAGCAGTGGCCCACGTTCCGAGAACTATTCACCGCCATCTACATAAACAACGCCAGGTTGACTCCGGTGGAAAAATTATACCACCTCAACTAGAAAACGAGCGGTGAAGCCCACGACATAGTGGCACAGGCCCCGCTCACGAATGATGGGTTTGAGTCTGCCTGGAACAACCTTCGTGAGCGTTTCCAAAATAAAAGGCTGATACTCAAGGCCCAGCTAAAGGTTCTTTTTCAGCTTGCCTTCCTTCAGCACTCCGAGGTGTCCACCGACAGCTGCTTTGCAGATGGCGTGCTGGTGTACCTCATACCTCTCTCTCGAGGCGACAGAGGACGGTCATCTAGGCATCGAGACGCACTACAATTCCCGAACAAGCCTTCCCACTCCTGCGCCTCGACGAGTCAACTCCTTTGAGGGGAGAATCTCCAGCAAGGCGCGCACTTACGACCTCTGTTCCAGGAGTTATCATCCGGTGCGATCATGCCCAGAATTTCTTCGCCTGACCGTACAGGAACGGTCAAGCTACATTCAGCAGAAACAACTCTGCTTAAACTGCTTCGCGCGAGGACACCAACTCCGGGACTGCACCAGCGCGTACAACTGCAGTACGTGCAATGGACGACACCACACCCTCCTTCATCGGGGTGAGCAGACTCCGAGTGGCTCCAACTGTGCTCCCAGTCCTCACACCACACAAGCCCCTACCACCATACAGTCCACTTCCACTTCTCTTCCTTCGTCCAACGACTCGGCCCATGTCCAGAGCTATTGTTCTACAAATGTCCACCTGGTGCTACTGGGCACAGCAATAGTGGGCATTTGTCATGCCGGCACAAGATACAAGGCTAGAGCCCTGATCGACTCCGGATCTGAGGCCACCTTTATTACTGAGCGGATGTTTAAAATCATTCGGCCCCCCTTCCAAGCCGTCCAGGCTCAAGTCTCCGGTTTGAGTCAAACGGTAGCGGCCAAGGCCCAGAAACTCTGCCACTTTACGATCGGCTCCGCCTTAAGGCCCGGCCTCCAGGTCGAGACCACGGCTTACGTTCTTCCGCAATTGGCAGGTAACCTCCCGTCATACCCTGTACCGCAGAACTACATGACAGACCTTCCTAAACTCCAGCTAGCGGAACCCTCCTTTCATCGCAGCTCGCAGATAGACTTATAGGCTTATAGGCGCTGATATCCTTCCATCCATCCTTTTAAGCGGCTTCCGGTCCAACATTTTTGGCTCGCTCTTGGGCCAAGAGACTATCTTTGGATGGGTCCTATCCGGTCCTGTCGCAGCTGACTCGTCTCGAATGATCTCTTCCTTCACCACGAAGATCTCGGTCAGCTCTGACGTCCGACTCGAGAAACTTCTCACAAGGTTTTGGGAGGTGGAGGACCTTCCAGGGAGACCTACGAGCAAGTCAGACTCCATTTGCGAGGACAATTTTCTCCAGACCACGCAGCGAGCTCCCGACGGGAGATACATCGTCACTCTTCCATTCAAATGTCCAGAAAAGATAGACTTGGGCTACTCCAGGCCTTCGGCCCACGCCCAGTTTCTGAGAAACGAGCAGCGTCTGCAGCGAAACTTGCCTCTCAAGGAGCAGTACGACGCCGTCATTCACGAGTATTTAGAGCTAGGCTACATGAAACAGGTTCCACCTAGTCATGACTCCGGCCACTTCTATCTTCCACACCATGCTGTTTTCAAGCCAGAAAGCACAACGACCAAGGTGCGCGTGGTCTTCAACGCGTCCAGCCCGTCTTCGAACGGAAGAAGCCTTAATGACATATTGCATTCAGGGCCAGTCCTTCAGTCCGACTTGACCACGCAAATCCTGAAGTGGCGCGTATTCCGATACGTTTTCAACGCCGACATCAATAAGATGTATCGGCAGATCCTCGTGGTGCCAGAACACGCTCCATATCAACGGATGATCTTTCGCACATTTCTGCCAGCGGGTAGCGTGCTGGCGACTATGAACTCGATAGCCCATTGTGTATAATTTTTGATTAATTTTAAAAAAGGGTATTTTTAAAGACCCATATCTATCAGAAAAAGTCGGTTTGGATCCTCGAGAAAAAAAAGTTCGGTATCGAGTAGTGTAATAGCAAACAAAAATATTTTAAGAATAAATAAAGTTTTTAAAAACAAAGTTTTGGGTAAAATGCGACTAGTCATATAAATATATATATATAATATATAAAGTTGGACGATATACATCACGTACATATGTATGTATGGTTACCGGCAAAATTGCCTCAAGGGCAAGATTCCTTCGATCCCAAACAATTGTATCGCAGGCGCATTTTGTCCATCTGAATACAAACCGAGAGAGGAGCACCGCCTTCGCCGGGCTCGATCGATGCGGGCGGGTCGATGTGCTGCTCCAACAGCTGGCGGTCTACAAGCGTCACGATCCGGGCCAGCAATGAGGTAGAGGAGACATGTAGATCGTTCAATTGCCTGTGTCCTGCTCATGGCCAAGGAGAATCGCGATCGGTTCCTCAATGGCGAGGGTCTGCAGCGATGAATCTGATGCTGCGCGAGAAGAAAGTGTCCCAACGGTTCGCTGAAGGTACTCGATCATGCCATGGCCGGTCAGGATGGTCGCGAACACCGCAGCAATTGCCGGATATTCTCGGACTACGCACCATTTTCCCACTGTTCATGAAGACACCCAAACGGGCAGTGACGCCGCTCTCGCTGATGAGCATGAGGAGCATGTCAGCTCCGTCAATTTGTCGATGTTGCGCAACTGCAAGGGCACCCATCGCCAGCGAATGCTCTCCAAATTCAGCGAGAACGATCACGAGAAGGTCGACTGTCTGCTGGAGCTCCATCTCAGTATTCGGCCAGTGGCGATCGACAAGGAGATCGATCAGCAGCCCAGGGTCGGTAACAATAATTTTACTCGAGCTTTTATTGGGATACAAAAATTATAAATGTTTTGGCAACAGGATCCCAGTATTGATGATAATGAGGAGGCGGAGAATAACTACATAAAGCGTTTGACTGGCGGCTCTTTTGACGCTTTGAGTGGGTTATGACGCTGTAGGTCACGCCACCTTGGGTGTGTCAAGCAGCGTGTGCCACAGATTCTAAGTGATGGTGGCGCTTCTATGAAGACCATCAGGAGCATCATGAGGGCTCTTTTTTCTTCTTGTCTCCTCCATTTGCTTCTTTTTCGCCTCTATTTCTCCCATTTTCTGCCTCCACTTTCCAACTGTCAAATGGCAGAAAACCGTTAAATTCAAATCTGAGATACCAGGGGGAAATCAGCAGAAGGTCGTTGCTCTTTTTAAATTCTCCCTTTTTTCTTGTTTCTCTTTGTACTTTGGTCGCTCTCCCTCTTCGCTCTCGTTCTTTCGGATCTTCTGCCTCCACTTTCCACCGCTCAAATGGCAGAAAAGCGCAACCATTCATAATCTGAAGATACTAGGCGCACAGAAATCAGCAGAAGGTCGTTGCCTTTTTTTAAATTCTCCTTTTTTTCTCGTTTCTTTTTGTATTCTTCTCGTTGCTCTCTCACTTTCGCTTTTATTCTTCCCATTTTCTGCCTCCACTTTCCACTTGTCTAAATGGCAGCAAGTTGTTGGAATTCAAATCTGAGATACCAGGCGCACAGAAATCAGCAGAAGGTCGTTGCTTTCCCCCCCCTTCTCGTTTCTCTCTGTTTTCTCTTTGTACCTTCGTTGCTCTCCCTTTTTCGCTCTCACTTTTCCCATTTTCTGCCTCTACTTTCCACTGCTCAAATAGCAGAAACCGTTAAATTCAAATCTGAGATACCAGGCGCATAATAGTTAGTAGAAGCTGGTTGCTTCATTTTAATTTTTCTCTTTGTTTCTCTTTGTACTTCGTTGCTCTCCTTCTTCGCTCTCACTTTTCCCATTTTCTACTCTTTTGTTTCCACCGCTCAAATGGCAGAAAACCGTTAAATTCAAATCGGAGAGGCCAGGCGGGGAGGAGTTTGCAGAGGGTCGTTGCTTTTTTTAAATTCCCCTTTTTTCTTGTTCCTCTTTGAAATTCGCAGCCCCTTCTCTTCGTTCTCATTTTTTCCGATTTTCTGTTTTTTACTTTTCAATCGCTCAAATGGAAGTAAAACCGTTAAATTCAAATCCGAAGAGACCAGGTGCATAAAGAATCAGCAGCAGGTTGTTGCCTTTTTTTAAATCCTCTTTTTTTCTCGTTCCTCTTTCTACTTCGTTGCTCTCTTTTTTCGCTCTTGATTTTTTCCGATTTCCCGTTGGTTTCCACTTACACCCTCAAATGACAGAAAACCGTTAAATTCAAATCTGAGATACCAGGCGCACAGAAATCAGCAGAAGGTCGTTGCTTTTTTTAACCCCTCTTTTTCTCTCGTTTCTCTTCGTATTTCGTTGCTCTCCTTTTTCGCTTTTACTTTTCCCATTTTCTGCCTCCACTTTCCACTGCTCCTACGGCAGAAAACCGTTAAATTCAACACCGAGATACCAGGTGTAGCAGAAATCAGTAGAAGGCCGTTGTTTTTTTTCAATTCTCTTTTTTTTCTTGTTTCCCCTTCTACTTCGTCGCTCTCCCCTTTCGCTCTCACTTTTCCCATTTTCTGCCTTTACTTTCCATCGTCTAATGAAGAAAACTGTTAAATTCAAATCTGAGATACCAGGCGCGGAAATCAGCAGAAGGTCGTTGC